ATTGGTGTTTTGGATATCTTCCACTAACCCCAAAGCTCTCTCATCTCTATTACCCATATCTCCTAAAACAACATTTCCGTCGATGTCTCTGACGCATACAAACAAGTTCACTGATTTATCACCCAAGCTTAGCGACTTAAAGCATCTGTATTGCCTATCGTCTCCAATCAACGTTGGTCCAGGCGGGGTTCCGTTCAGATTAGCTAGCCTGTCCTCAAACATATAGCTCAGCTCCATACTATTCCGTTCCTTATCTACTCCGTACAGCATGCTAACCTTGTCTCTAAGATCTTTCAAACTTTTTATTTTCCCCAGTCTTAAACACCTCCCCCGTTTGAAAGTGTCCATCTTAAAGTCCCATTCACCCGAGCTGTACAGTATCCACCGCCCACTCTGTACCACCACAGCATCATCGTCACCGTCCACTACGAGTTCGGTACACAAACAAGCATTAGTACATGCGTATGATTCTGTATAGCATAAACAAAACAGTAAAAAGCTCTAAACCTCTTTTCCTTACCTTCCATTGTTGATTAAGCTCCTCTAATCTTCTTTCTCTATCCATCCTTTTCCCAATGTAAGAAGATCGACTTTTCTCTTATTTGGCTACACATCCCTAAGCTTTTTTCCCTCCAATTTAATATCATGATTACTCGTGAAACTATGACTAACATAACCAGATTGTCCATATCCCCGTTCAGTTCGATCTTAACCGGATCTACAGTCGCCGTAGCAGCAGAAGGAAGAAGGCAGATCGAGTTTACCCACTATTCGCTTAATGGGCCTTCTCGTTACCAATGGGCCAGATAGATGTGTATATTTATCTACATTATATTCTCGCTTACACATATTCCCCCTACCCTATGCAAATCCGCAAAACCGAGTATCCATTAGACAAGCCCTTTTTGGTAACTCTCCCCAAGTGTCTAATGGCCCACTTCCAGCCCTATCTCACAACCCCTTCATTACACAAAAAACAAAAACGTATCATTCTCACAATATTAAATAGTAAACGTACTGCTTTACTAAATAACTTCCAAAAATGTACTAATTACCCTACTCACCCTATAATTTATTTATACGAGAGCTCGAGATGTAGGTGTTTAGAACCTTTCACTTTGAAACAAATTTAAGATTCATGACATAAAATCGTG